TACGACTGGGTCAGAGCTTGCGTGAAGGACCGCACATTTTACCGTCAAGTTTGCTTTTTATAAATACCAATTATTGTGTAGAGAGCGGCGTACACCTTCTTTTGTGCGTACGCAACGTTTATAAATGAGGCCCCAGGACCTCCAGCAAAAAAAATAGGCCCACGACATGGGGTACATTTTATCACTGTTTGCACCAAACCCATCTGGTGGATTTGCTGGCAAAAAGCTCTTTTTAGTTTCATCTGACCATAGAACCCGGTACCATTTGAAGTTCCAGTTGTGATTGACAACTCAACCCCAAGACTCAACTAATCTCTGCAGTTCTCCATCTGTGATCCTTGGAGAGTCTTCGGCCATTCGAACTGTCCATCTCACCGTGCATCTCATCAGCAGCCATATTACCCTGTTGCCCAAGACTGGTTGCCCACTGAAGCTAAGCAGGGTTGAGTCTGGTCAGTACCTGGATGGGAGACCTCCTGGGTAAACCAGGTTTCTGCTGGAAGAGGTGTTAGTGAGACCATAGGGGGTGTTCACCCTGTGGTCTGTGTGGGTCCTAACGCCCCAGTATAGTGACGGGGACACTATACTGTCAGAGCACCGTCCTTTGGATGAGACGTTAAACCGAGGTCCTGACTCTCTGTGGTCATTTAAAATCCCAGTATGTCCTTCGGAAAAGAGTAGGGGTGTAACCCCGGTATCCTGGCCAAATTTGCCCATTGGCCTCTGTCCATCATGGCCTCCTAATCATCCCCATATACTGATTGGCTCGATCACACTGTCTCCTCTCCACCAATAAGCTGGTGTGTTCAATTTTCTTACAGCCACTTTCTATTTTGTGAAGCTCAACAATCTTTTGCTGCACATCAGAACTATATTCTTTGGTTTTACTCATTGTGATGGATGATTAAGGGATTTTGGTCTTTGTGTTTCATCATATTTATACTGCTGTGGAACAGGAAGTCATGGCTGGACAATTTCATGCTCCTAGTTACCCTAGTGTGCTAAAAAAAAAAAAATATATTAATGGGAATATATTTTACTGCATTGGAGGAAAAAAAATTTATTTCATAATGTGAGTTTCCCACACTTTCCATTCTTTTACTTCAATGAAAGATCAAAAGGGTAAACAATGCAGATTTATTTTTTACAGCCATCTTTGATCATATTTACCAGGGGTGCCAATAATTCTGACCACAACTGTGTATATATATATGGGAGGCAAATAAATATAAATGGTGAAAAATGGAAAAAGCTAAAGTAACTTGGAGTACCATGTAAATATAGTCGACTTATAAATATGGTCATAAAGTAAAGTGCTGTACCATGGTATACCTTCACGGTACTTTCTACGATGTTTGTAATACAATCAAAGTAGATTTTATGATTTAGTAGGGTGAATTGAGGGTGATTGAGACATATAGTCAGTATACTGTTTCAATAATAAAGTTGAACAGAAATAAACATGGACTCTTAAGAAACAGAAAAGGAAATTTTGCATATGGAATTATATCAAAGTATGAATTAACTTGTGTAATAAATATGCTTACAATAAATCAATCATAAGATATACTTACATAAGATCAACCAAATGTTACCAAAAGAAAAAGAGGTTTTGGCTTGTTCAAATGGAAAGGTAACATTTTCAGTATTACAGAAATGTATCATGTGTTTGGCTTTTTAATTTATGGCAAGAAACCTTACAAAAGGCGAAAATTCAAAAACTGTCCCAATCACCCTATGAATCTAAAACATTTATACCGATATAATATAGTAAATTAGTGTTACAGTGGTAGAAACATTTTGTAAGGATGAGAAAAACTACTTACTATGGCACAGTAATGGTATTAGGTCTACCATGTGTTTTGATATACGTCTTCACTATGATGCTAAATGGTTGCTGTATTACTTCCATGATATGAAATCGAAACATTTCTGTTGCAAATTCCAAATCTTAGTTTGTTCCCGTTGGTTCCGCTTTCTAGCACCACAGGGAAAGTTGAGCGTGATGCGTTGTATTTACAGGCTGCAGGCTTTCAGCATAGCGGCAGCAAATAGACTTAATTACACCCTGTGCGCTTCAGAAACTCTCTTATCTCAGCTCTGCAAGTCACTACCTAGCCAGCTCTTAATTACAACTCACTAAACCTTTCCATCGTTCATATCCGACTGCCGGCAAACCCTTGGCTGCATACTCTGAAAGCGCTCAGGGCGGCGAGCGGTATTTGTTGTTCGTTTTAGTCTTTTTAGGAAGTGAAATATTAAATTGATCTCCCGGAAGCACTTTTGGATTCATTAAAGTGGTGAGTGAGTTAAGTATTCGAGTGACGAGGGCGTCTTTGTTAGATTTGCATGTGTTTGTGATCGCACAAGTTGCCGGTGTCTGCAGGTCTTCAGCTAACTTCAGGAGTAAGTTAGACCCAGAGAATAAAACTTCTTACCCTCACATTGATACAAAAACAGATGCTGTTGAAGCATTTTGTTATATGAACATGACCGAACCTGTAGCACAATTATGCCCTAAATGTCTTAACCCTTGTTGCATGAATGTTTCACCAATCATTATTACATATTCGGGTCTTTAGCGACCAGGATCTATATCTAATACAGATAGATCTCTACCTGTCGCGATAATATAAACTCTCCTGATTTTAGAGGAATGATTACAGAAGAATAAAATAAAGCATATTTAAAGCAGATGTTTTATATGATGTTTTATACCATCTGTCCTCATCAGAGCTAATTTCCCAGTACATTCAGCATCTGGCTCATATTCCCGAAAGAAATTCTCAAAACTATCATTTTCAACATCAATAATTTTGATCACTGACAGCTTATTCGCCAGATCCATCATCAAGTGACAGTGACACTAATATTTATTTGGTCAAGAACTTGCTCTGCAGTAAATCACTGAGCCATTTCAAGTTTTGCTGATGATACTTCCTATTCTTTTGTTTTCTGCCTGCGGTAACTATGAGTGAAACGTCACTTCATCATTGTGTATCAGACATTAAATTAAAGGTGAATTGCACTTATACATTCATCAAAGATTACATTTTTGTTGTGCAGAAAAATTACACTGTTACACGGCTCGAGTTGTTAGTGACCCTATACAATTTTTTATAAAAAATGAATGTGAAAACAGGCATTCTATTATAATTTTTTTTTTTTTTTCGTGTTATACTGTTTATAATGAATTGATTGAGGATTACTAAGAAGGTTGATGTCTAACTTTAAAAAAATATTGGGGAAGAGGGTAGGGAATGACGTCCCGGGTCACTAAAGACCAAAGGTATGCGTTTAAGGGTTACAATTTGGCCTTTTTTTATTACATAAAGCTCTTGTGTAGTTTAAAAGACTTTAACAATAAAGCAATATAGTGCACACGTTTTGGGGCTACTTGTTGGTCCTTTTTGCAGCTTGTTGTACGGATAAAAGTTGTCTGAAGGTTCTTCAATCATTATTTTTTGTGTTCCACAGAACAAATAACAGCATGTATGTTCAGGATGAGTAACTAATAATAAAACAAACAGTAAAAGTGATTCATTGTCCATTTTAAAACTGGTCAAATATGATAACGTGTTTTTTTTGTTTTTTTTTATAATCCAGTCCGCACAGCGATGCAAAATGCAGTGCAGAGTTAACACGGCAGAGTTTTTTGCGCTTGTGCGTCAGGAGGATGTAGAGAACAACAAACAGATGTGGAGGGAGAGAAAGAGAGCAGAGGTGTGGAGATGAGCTGCTCTCCAGATCATGAGAGACTCAGGGAGAGAAGCAAAATAAAACTGCTGAAGTGAGCTCTTTTTCTTTGTCAAGGTCAGTGTCTCCGTGTAAGCATGAGGCTCTTTCCCGTTATGTGCGATTGTGTGTGTGTGTGACTGAAAATAAAAGAAACCCCTTTGCCACCAGAAAGCACAACACAGGCTTTGTTAAAGGACTTATGAGATCCATAACAGCACTGTTCTCTATTGTGCAGGTGCAGACGTGTATAATCAGGCTAATATAGAGGTTCTCCCTGCTGAAAAGACCACCATCTGTTGTGTTCGGGACACTGGTGCGCTGGTTTGCCCCCACCTGGCTGCTTCAACAGCTTATGCAGCAAGATTTTGGTCAAGAAACTTCACGAGAAAACTAGTTTGAGGTCTGCGTTCCATCTGTGTATATTAATTACCGACTATGCATTGTGCAGCGCTCATTTGATTGGACTGCCACAATTTAGTCAACATGAAATTGAAATTGCGGTCATCTTTTTTTCCACATTGTGACGTATATCTAAATGAAACAGCTACTTGAACAAGAACCAATGTAGGACGGGACTTGATTTTGTCTGTTGTGAATTGATTGGATGGTTGAATCGTTGTGGTTTGCTATTGGCCGATCTCATGTGAATGGCAGGTTGATCCCGCCTTCACACCAGTAAACACATCATCAAAAGAGAAGAGATGTCGCCGCAAGAGGAAAGGGAAGTTATTTTGATTAAAGATTATGAGGGCACATGAATTAAAAAATATATGAATGTACAAGGATAAATCATTTATAATAAATACTGAAATAAACCATTAAAAAAATGGTCAATTTTGATTTCATGACTTTTTTGTTACATCAAATTTGATTAATGCAAAACAACAATTGTAATTTCTGACAACAATATAGCATCGTACTGTTTTGAAACATTTAGCATTTAGCTGTATGTTAGTATTTCATTCCGAATACACACACTAATGAACGAAACAAGAACCCCTGTATTCAACTAGGGTAACTAACCAAGGACAAAACCAAGGGGTCAAGGCCCCGTTTGGCCCCCGCTGATGCAGAACTACACCATATGGTCTAAAAGGCATCTTTCTCTATTAAATGTCTTGCATGCATTATAACCAGTGTCCAATTATTTTTTGGATATGAATCTTAAAAGCATGAAATTCATTATAAATGACTGTGGTAAAAAACTAAAACTTCTGTGGTCACATAAGAAAATACAGTATGGCAGATATTTAATCACTTACTTCCACCAGCCGAGCAACATGCCATGGAGATGAATAGAGCGCTGCAGTGATGATGTATTTTTGTAGGCCAAGCTAGAAGTTCACATCAACCTGGTTCCTTCAAGAAAAAAACGAACAGTATTTTTCCAGTGGCTTTTGCATTATTGCAGAAAATAAGGTCTGTGACTAACAAAAGATTGTGATTCTTACATGTTTTGTTCATCGTGATAATCTTCACAAATGAACACAACTTTTATGAATTTTGAAGCATAAATACAGAATACAGAAATCAAAAGCTAAACTATAAACGAACTTCACCACAGTCACTTCAACGTCACTATCACTAAGCTTCCCACAACTCTTTCAGTCTTTGTTTAAAAACATTTTCCCTGAAGGTTCTAGTTATAATAGTTTGCAAGAGTGTGAGTAAGCACAACGAGGCTGTGAAAGTGGACTGTTGAGTAGACGAGTTTACCTGTTCAGCTGATGACGTTTAATGTCACTGGAAACCTCTGTAGTCCCATTTAGACACACCTTTTTTAAGACAAGTGAAAGCTTTAAAAAAAAATTACTGATGTATTTTATATTGTAGAATAAAACTTGAAAATATCTAGCGCTTGTGACCTTTTTCAACAATTTTTCAACATTACAAAAAAAAAATGCTTTTCAATCCAAACATCCAAATATTTAGGACTAAAATTAAGATTTGTGTATTTGAATTGCAGTTTTAACATAAACAACCTCGTAAACTTAATGTGATCCATATCTGTCAGTGTCAGTCATGCATAAATGAAACGGGTAAGATTTCTGCACTCAAAAATCATGTATTATTAACAATTTGCATCTGTTTGATTTTATTTACATAATCATATTTTCAAAATGCATTTATTCAGATGCTTAGAATCAGCATAAACCTGTTAATTGCAAAAACAATTACATTTATTATGTTGAAAAGTATGAACATGGTTAAAATATGGCTAGCTGTGGAACACGTAATGTTCAGTTCATTAAAATTTCTGAAACTGAGACTAAAATAAATTGGATTTATTGATGATACAATGAACCTTACTGTGTATTTAAAAGACATTCAGTTAGTACTATTACAAAAATCCTACCCGTTTAATATATGTATGTCTGACAAATATGCATATGCACATTAAGTTTGTAAATTTATATTAGCTGTATAATCCAAATGAATGGAAATTTGATATGCCCTTCAAATACAGAAATCTTAAATCATTTTTTTGAGTGCATCTGGAAGACCAACGCCAACACTATAATGTGATATGAAAATATAAACCCAAACTAACCTTCCTGTAGCTCAAACAGTAGCACATAGTGCTAGCGAAGCCAGGTTCATGGGTTTGATTCCCAGGGAATGCACTAATTTAATAAAAATGGTTCCATTTTATTTCGATAGTCCACTTTATACATTCTACTAACTATAAGTAACTTTGCCTGTAGACTGTAGTAGACTGTCAGTAGACTGTTATGGTTAGGTGTCAGGGTTCGGGTTAGTAGAATAAGTTGACTTGTAGTTGCCAACATACTTATAGTCAGAAGAATATCTGTTGTGGGAGCATCAAAATAAAGTGTTAGCAGATATAAAGCAGACAGTTTACTAATACTCGAATGAGAGTTAGTTGTCATGTAGTTGCAAAGTTACTTATAGTTAGTAGAATGTCTAAAGTGGACTATCGAAATAAAGTGTTACCAAATGCATAGCTTCAATGCAACGTATGTCGCACTGGAGCAAAGTGTCTGCCAAACATGTAAAATAGTCCAAAGTAACATTGGGACATTCTTTAAAACAGATTACCGAAGACCAGTGGACAACAAATAGATGATGCTCCAGCTGATATTTGTGTTGGGGAGGCAGTGGCTGGTTAAAGGTCAGGTCTAAACCTGTCGTCTGGAGCAATAGCAGTCTGAACCCAGCCTCCAAAGGTCATAATAAGCAGTACAAAGCAGTCAGACACCTCATATTTCCCCCAGCCATGAAACACCGGTGATTCTGCCCACTCACGTATGCTGTGTAAATGTCAACTCATGATATATGCATGTAGTATTGATGTTGACATGAACTCTTAGCATGTACACACAAAGCAGAAGCAGACAGATGCTATTTGTTTTGTCAGCCTTTGCGCATAGCAGGGTTGAGAACAATTCTGAATTATAAGATGAACATTATGGATATTTATTGCACATGTAAACCTACGGTACTTGGCAATAAAGGTGATTCTGATAAAGATGTGGCTCCGATCATGATGAGCTGAAAATTGCTTGAAAGACCTGAAAGAGAGAGAAAGAGACATCACAACACAATAATTTGGACTAATTATGAAAAATACTTTTACTGGAATGAAGTGGCATCTATAGAAGACTTTTTACCTTAAAGTAAAAAAATAAATAAAAGGAATTGTATATATACAAAATCACTTTTGGTTACTTTTTAATCAAAATAAACTGTGAGTGATTTTAGCAAGCTCTCAGCTAAATTAAAGCTACACCTCCGTACCCACGACCTTCATTCTCCTTGCGGTGTTTAAAGAGGATTTGATGACTAATGATCCAAAAAGAAGTTGACTATAAATAATATATAAATAAAAACCAGTGGAAAGCTGTTGAGTGTGTGCATCACTGTATTATTGTAGCAAATCTTTTTTGAAAAAAGTTTTTTAAAAACACACTGCATGAAACACCGCTGTAAATTGGTTTTAATAAATAATATTTTAATATTAATTATAATATAAATATAGCATTGGTTGCTGGCTGATAGTCCCATGTGCAAGGTAAATTGGTGCCTTAAACTCAGAAAGTGTGTGAACATCAACTGAAAAATTAATTTCCATTGGACTAAAGAGAGGGGATTTTGCCTTCTCATTTCAGAAGACGCTGCCTGCCACACACACACACACACACACTCGATTTCACTCTCCCGTTCTCATTTCTCCTCCTCTCAGCGGTGGATTCCAGCGGATAGAGAAGGGCAGCCGGGGTGAGAGGGTGAGCTTGGTGTCTCAATGTATCTGCGAGTGGAGTTGATATACAGGTTGTGACCTTTGAGAATCTCATCTCAGATCTTATTCCTCAACACCTGCACCTCATCTCTCCCTCTCTCGGCCTGTCTCCTTTTCTCTCTCCCCTCAAATGAGATGAGACAGATGAGAAACATATTGGAATTTCTCTCTGCCAAATCCAAGCTGCCAAACCGCAGAGTTTTGCAGTGATACAACGCTGGCTTCCTGTTTATCATTCAAGACATCCATGTCATTTAGATGTGTGCCAATTCCTCTGCGCGATCACGCTAAGCTGAGGCTGCCATCTCCTCCGCACAGTTGGATGTTCTCTGAAACACTAAATTACATTCATGGAACACCTGAGCAAACGTCGGCTTGTGCTCCCCAGTGGCCGTATTCAAATAAGATCCAATTTTATCCTCACGCCGACGCCGGACTCGAATAGACCTGCGAGCTCAAGGGTCACGCACACAAAACACATTCCTGAATACACTCAACCTCATCTCCAATCTTTCTTTTTGTCTAGCACAACTCCTGTTGGACGTTGTGATTGGCACCTTTTCACCGGTATTGTTTTTTTCGGTTGTTGTTTTGCTTCTCCCAAAGTGAAGAAACAGCATTCCCTCACGATAAATCCAAGCCGCGCGCCAATCGAACGACGTGGTAAAAATATTCATCCCATTTAAATAGACTCATTCATATGCATGAGATATGCATCCCCGCCACCTGGCCAAAGGACCGCACCTGGACACAATAGAACACATTCACAATCATTATTAGTGTATTATTAAGGAATAAATGATATCTAGACCTTTGCTGCATCCCAATTCATCCTACACGCTTTAAAGGATTGAAATAAGGCATCCCAAATCAAAGTATGGTGAAAATAGCATGCCAAGGATTTCCATGCACGCCCATGCATGTTCTTTTTTTTTTTGCCTAAATTTACCCACAACCTCCTGCTCTACAGATGAGGAGGCGTTTTCTTGTGAGTTATAAGAAAAATATATATTTTAAAGGGATGATAGTTCACCCAAAATTTTTCAATTTGGTCATAATTTCCTCACTATCGTGTCACTTCAAGCTGCAACCCTCTCTTGAAACCAAAACGGAAGTGACTTAAACAGCAATTCATCGACTGGCCACTAGAGACAGGCTGCAAAAGAGAGTCAATCCCATATACCCCCCATTTTAATATGCCCAACCTTACAGCAGAAAAAAATGTTTACAGGCTAGTACAAAAAGTGGTTTTGGTTAGAAATGTGCTGGGGACAGAGATGCAAGTGCATTTTCAGAAGGGTACAATGACGCATTCATTTTTTTTCTCTCTTTCGCGCAGGTCATGTTTTGAAAGACGATGTCCTGTAGCTTACTAATGTAAATAAATAAAAATGTATACAAAAATGTGATGATGTCCGACTTGTTTTATGAAGAAGAAAGCCTTAAGTTTTCAAGTTCTCAATTCACAACAATATGCATCCATCCAATCTACATCAGGCATTTTGACCAAAACTTGAAAGCATCCAATCCTCATCATCATCATCACAACTATTCCCGAATTCAGCAATAGATTCAAGCAATAATTAAACAAGATACTGACTACTCCACGATCATCTCCACCAATGCTTGCTGTACGAACGCAAACTGTAACTAGCTAAGTAAGTTGGTGGCTAAGGCTAACATTAACTGCAAGAGAAGAGTTAAAACAGCCGATCCCTTGTGTGCAAATGCACAAGACTTAGCCCCAATACCAGCAAATCTTAAGTAATAAACATGCGTCTTACCTTTGTGTCAGTGGTCTGGAGATCCATGCTGTGTTCAACAACATCCATTTGTTCTACAGGTTATCACTTTGATATGTTATAGTCCATGGCACTAGGAACCTGGTATGGTGCTTTATACTGCATGAAGGCTAAAATGACTTGCTCGTCTATGACACCTTGGCCAGAAATTCTCTGCCTCGGCTCATCCCAGCAAAGACTAGGTAGCCTCGTTCCTGCTCGTTCGATGTCCGTGCCAAGCTGTCAGCTCATTTGAAAAATAACAAAAATAAACTGGTGCTGCAGAGGGGACATCTACACTCTACATTCTTTAAAAAAC